CCTTCTGAAAACCAGCAGTCCCGCTCCTGCTGAGGGGTGCCAATGGCATGTAGTCAAGCTGGAGTCAGCTAATTGCCACATATCAATTTCCTGCATTAGGCTCCCACAGCCAGGTACCGCACTGACTTTGTCAGGGTATCCAACAGCACTAACGTCTGATCAAAGGAGGTGGCACAGGGTATCAGCTGAGACTAGGAAAACACGTGTATTTGAGAAGGAGAGAGACTGGCTTTACAGACACATGAAGTACACGCAAAAACACATCTAACCCAGATTTTCTGTCATGTTGCAGACTGCAGTGGCTAGGTTCAATGCATTTCATTTGACATAATACACAAATGGGCCTTCCGGTCAAGAAGAATTTTTCCAGGCCGTGAGAAAGACATGAAGCACCCTGTGAGGCCCATCGGGGCAGTCAGCAGCCCACAGTGGGTACACCAGGCTGGTCTGTGGTACCATGGCTGCCTTTGCTGGTTCCACACAGCCACCAAGAGGCAAAGCACACACTCCCTACTCCACTCCTCTCATTTATCTGTGCAAAGCAACACAAAACCATATGCAGGCTTTCACTGTCAGTGTAAACCATATTATTCTTGTAATTAAATCCAGGTCCACAGCCTTTCCCCGACCCTCACTATTTGCCTCCCTCCAACCTTGTTTGGGTTTACGTGCTGTGTCATTAAATTCCAGTACAGTAAGTGCTGCAGCCTCTCTCCAAGCATTGAGATACTGCTTTCTAGGCTGCAAATTAGACGTGGGGTTAAATTCATCCCTGCAAGGACTCAGCCTTTTATTTTTCTTTACTTTTCAGTCAAAGGATGCTTTTGGCAGATACGTAGTGGAAAAAGACGATGTTTGCTCTCCGCTTCCTCCCTGCACACATACACACACACCCTCCTTCTCCACTCCCACCCATCAGCCAGTAAAACAACACAGCCCAGCTAGATCCCAAACTGAAAGCAAGACAAAGCATCCACACAGCCTCCACTTCCATTCAGCAGAAATGGGCCGCTCCAGGGTAGCCCAGGATCCACAAGTAGGCCAGGCAGAAATAAACAGAGTAAACAAAGAGTATCCTGTCCAAGCGGAGAGGGGCTAAAGAGAGTGATGTCCTTCATTAAAATGCAAGGCAGGGATACAAGCACGCAGCCGGTCAAAAGCATCGCAGGAGCTTGCTAGGAGCACTCAGAGGAGAGCAACACATGTTCACGCCAACACAGGGACCCAAAGCACATCACCCAGTTGCACACAGCCTGCCTATCAAACCCCAAACAAGGCAGCCGAGGCAGACCTACCACCACCCCAAAACAGCAGAGAGGCGAGCCCCAGGTTGCGGCAGGGCGGTGCTCTGCAGGAGGCTGAGCAGCGCAGGCAGGTACGGTACCAGGCGACCAGAGCCGCTCAAATGTCAGAGCCAGTGACATTTAAAAACAGCACAGCTGCCTTTTAAGAGAAGGATGGGAGACAGGGAGAAAAGCACAGCAGAGCCATAGCAACAGGTCAAGGGTTTGCCACGGTTCTTTGGAAGGAAGGGTAAAGGGGCACGGGCACTTTCTTGATTTTCAGAGCATTTGTCACAAAATCATTAGTCTAGGAATTAATAGGATAGTTCTGCTTATTTCTTCTGTAGCCTGCCCCTCTCGCTCATGCACCTGCATGGGCTTCAAAGTCAAAGCCCACGCTGTGTATATCTTCGTGTCTCCTGTTATGCTGCTATGGGGAAAAAAGAGAAAAAAAAAAATGCAGCACGCATAGAGATGGGGGAAACAGTCAGGAGTTCCTAGCACAACGCTAGTCTGTCTGCTGCAAGTCTGCTCAGTTACCGGGAAAATTGAACATGCTGCTTATTTTTTTTTGAACAGCCTAATCATATTTACTATTACATCAGACTTGCCCACCACAATTTGTTCTCATGCAATGAAGAATTTTTAATCTAATATCTTGGACTCCGATAATTTCCCAGCTGCAGAACTGCAATAATTTCATATCTTCTCATTTTTGAGATAAGCCGATTAACATGGATATGCTTTACTTTCAGGTTGCGATTATCCCCCTCTTTTTTACTTGAGGGGAAAGGGGCAACTTACAGTAAAACAACTTTGCTTTCCCCAAGACAGATCTTAAAGTCTACTTTTCTGTGATGGAGATAGGTCTTTCCTGTTGCATTTCCCTTATCCCCTTAACTTTCAGCACTTCCCCTTCCTTTCTGAGACACTACATTACAGCATCTCTTATTTCAGGCATTTCTCAGGCAATATATTTTCTTAGAGAAAAATAACTCTTTCAAGAAAAATCTCATGGAGAAAACATTTTCTCATTTAAAATACATTTGAAAGTTTATTAAAAAAGAAAAAGGAAAGAACAGCCCAGCACTATTGGTCAAATCTTGCTTGCACTGTTCATTCATTTTCAGACACACTTATAGAATAATAATGACAACAAAGGGAATGATGAGGCTTGATGTTCTGTTCACATATACAGTGGAGTAAAATGAGAATCTCCAGTAATATCAGTAGAACTGATTTACACCCATGTAAGCAGGGGAGAAAGTGAGCAAATCCTTGAATTTATGCCATTAGAAGCTGAAGAAAATGCTGCTTACTCCTAAAATTTTTTCAATACCTTTTGATGTTTACTTTTTTTTTCCCCCTAAAATCCCCAGGTCTGTGATTTACTCCATTATATCAGATGGACTCACCTTCCTTCTCCATTTTTTTCCCCTTAAATTTCTAGCAATCATGAAAGCCCAAAACCACGAGATGAGCACACTCTTTGAGCTGGAAGAATATATTTGTTGAAGTGTTTGGATTTCTAAGTCTCATTCTGATGCAGAGGTTTTCAACTCGTGTTGATTTGTAGTTCAAATTCAGCACTGGAAATGTAAAAGTTCCGTGTATGCAGATTCCTGTACAGCACATGAGAATTCATTCCTCTTAGCCACTGTTCATTAACTCCTCTGAAATGGTTCAAGGGCTGGAAAGCCCTTTTAGTGGGATTGTGGCTTGTGTTTTCCCACGCACAACATTGGTGATACTGCACAGAGCAAGAAGGAGCTGGCCTATTTAAAAGGGAAGACCTTTAAATGTCCAGTTTAGTGAAAAGACATGTCTGCATGAACATGCAAGTGCATTGCTACTTCCTAAAACAAAACAAAACAAAACAAAAAAAACTGCTGCTCTTGCAGTACTGTGCCACTGGCAGCTAAATCCCTAAAGTCCCTAAAACCTACCCCAGCCCTGAGGAAGGTGAGAGGCATCTCCTAGCTCTCCCCTGCTGGGAAAGGGAGGGAACGTGGTAGCTGTCCTACAGTGAGAGCACCTGTAACTTGAAAATGCTCTAGTCAAGAACATCCAGCAGTATAAGAGTAGCCCTCTTCTTACCAGCACATTGCTATGGGCAATGATTCTAAGAAAGCAGCCACATAGCAGGTCCAGAAAACATGGTAAAAAATGAGGGAAGAAAGAAAAATTACCAAGATTTGGACTCATCCCTGCCTGTTCCTATTGACTATAAGACTATAAACAGGACAGACAGTGAAACGTTGTAGTGCTGGATATACAGCCTGGTGGGGCTTGTGCTCCTGCAGTGTTCAATTGCTTAAAAACTCTGGCTGAAATTCTTATTTCTTGGTACTGCAAGACATAGTTTCATGGATACTTTCACTTATTTTCTCCCCAGAAGTTACTAAAATTATGTCCATTTTCTTCATTAGCCTGCTTTAAGCAAGTTCTATGAATGCAACACTGGTAATGAAATTTGCCTAGCAGATCACAGATAATAGTTTTCAGAAACTTTTTACTCATACACTAGTACAGGGTAAGCCTATCCACAGCATGTCAGAATAATTTAGTCTCCAGGCAGCTTTTCCTACAACAAGTGTTAGCAGGTGACTAACAATAAGAGGATTTTGTCAGCAAAGATCTACGGAACAAGTCACTTCATGCCATCCAGCTGAATTCAAACCAGAACAATCAGGGTGAACTGGTCCATATTCCATACAATCAGCATCTCCTGTATCTTAAAGTCATCCTGTCAATCCTTTTCAAATGAACCAAGAGCAAATAAGTCCACCTTTTATGCTATTTTCTAAATGAAATCAGATGTACATGTAAAACCGGTATTTAAATGGGTTTTACCTAGTAATGAGTCAGATATTGACGGAACAATCACCATGAAAACCAAGGTAAGAAGCACTATAATCGCATTAATAATTCAAATCTCAGCATGGATGTTGATGACTGTGCACTTAAAAGAGGATATTGGGCTGTAGCTGGAGTTAGCCCAGATTTCCTGAAAAGTTGTTGGAACATAACAGAGATTGGGAGATTTTATTGAGAGTCCAACCTGAGAAATGGCAGCTCCTCATTATTAACATAACTTGGACAATCAGAAGCATTAGAAAAGTTGAGCAAGGAATAAAAAACACCAGCATGAACAGGCTGAGAGAAGGTGAAGGGTAGGAAGAGTAAGTGAATTAAATCCAGTGGCAGAATCCCCAGTACTTCCTTCCCAGGCTGGGATGGGAACATTTGGGGCACAGAACAACAGCATTCAGTGGTAGCCAATTCCAGTTACTGCTTAGGAGCAAGCAATACTACAAGCTTTAAACTAAATGTGTACCATCAGCAAAAACACAAACAAATAGAAAGGTCGTGCAAGCCAAAACCACTCAGTACAAACCAGTTGGGGCTAGTTATCGTAATCTGCTCTATTCACATAACTAAGTTTGTTTCACTGAGGGCATGAACTTTCTTGGAAAAGCTCAAGTAATTAACTGCAGGAGCTTATGTATTTTCTTTCCCCTCAAGTTTACTTTATCCTGAAATTAGTGCTGTTTGCACACAACTGTTTCACTCAAAAAGTGGAGTTTGCTTGTTCTTTCCAGAGGGGGATGCTTTAAGGGATGGTACTACTGAAGTGTAGGATCCTTTTCAATTCCTCCTACCTCCTATCCACAATTCACAATATTTTGGATAAATACAGACAAAATTCTTCCTTACCTCTCGGAAAAAGAGCAGGTTTCCAATGAAAGGAAGAGGTGGAGGATGTCTGATCCCTACTTTGCTTAGTTTGGAGAAGGCAGAGGTGGAGTACCTGGAACAAATAAAGAATTACATTAATTTTGGACCTACAATAAGACTTCCAGAGTAATTGGTTCAAGTGGCTTCCCTAGCTTCAGAGAAGGGAGAAGATGCTTTCTGTATTGGCCAAACAGAATGATCAGTGAGGTGGCATTGCTCAGCCACAGGAGCAAACACAAAGCACTGGTGCTTCTGAGAGGACAGAAGAACAAAAGGACTCAAACACAGGCCTGCAAACTGGGCAGTGTAAATGGAGAGCTGCTTCTCTTCCCCAGGAGGTCGTGTGTGCATCAGAAGCAACTCGCTAAAGCTACATGAGGTTAGAACGAGATTGAAATGGGCATTTGGGTTGTGGCACAGCTGGGAAAGAAGCAAGGCAGATCTTCACATGATTATTTTCTTTTCCTTCTATCACCACTACCTATACAGATCACAGAACAGGAATTCAAACTAGTTGCAGTTGTGTGAGAGCCAAGACACTGTCAGTGTTTTCAAGTCAAGCCTAGTATTTGGGCCAGATATGCTGATTAAGTGATTTTCCAGCTGCCAGTCAGCAAATTAAACAAAGATAAAAAATACAGGGAAACAAAACCCAGACTGAAAAGCTTCGTGCATCCCTTGTTTCAGATGGAACTGTGGCATGTTGGCAGGCACGATACTGGGTGGGGGAGGAAACAACCCCATAGCCCTCTTACCCCCTTCTCCTCCTTTCTTAACACATACCAGTGGACTTCAGGTGGTGAAACCTGGAAGATCAGGAGCTAACAGCAGCAGATTTGATTAGCCAAAGACACAATAATACTGATTATTATCACGTTGAACACTATCACCAGGAGGACCAGGGCAAAAGATCATTGAAATTAATAAAGGCTGTCACTTCATTAGCATCCCAGCTCAGAGCAATAATGATTTTAAAGAACCTTCTCAGTTGCCCCTGCTTACTGCATGATGTTTCGATGTCTGGGGCAATTTTGGTATGTGTGAACTACACTTTTTTGAGAGGAAACTGAGAAGAAAGTGAACTTGAGGCTCTGCTCTCATACTTTATCTATTAACAGGGCAGTTCTGAACTAACTAGTGGTCCTTCAGCTTTGAGCCACAAGCACGGTGAGACTGTTTGGTCCTGGAGATCAAATTAAATCTAACCCAAAGTAAAAACCATGAACTGCATATAGTGTAGGTGTAGGGGTCATGATGTCAGCTGTCCTTAGTCTGCTGAGCCTGCAATTCACATGAATTGCATAAGAGACATAGCCAGAAGCAGTGCCCTGGGATCCCAGTGAGCTGACTCCCCCTTAAACCCAGCTGACAGTCTTGTTGACTCCAAAGACCGTGCTTAACCCACTGCTATGACTTGGACATGTCTGCTTTCAGATCCCATAAGCTACATAACGCCTCATCTGAAACACCCTACACGATGCAGGCAGGAATTTCATGGTTTAATTAAATGGGCAAAGAGCACACAATTCCTGTGGGACAGGGAACATGGGGGAGAAAAAGAGTCGGTGGCAGAAAAAGGCCCTTCCCTCCAACAGGTGGGAAAAGATGCTGCTGTGAAGTGAAATACAGGAAATTAAGAGTACTAAACCTCATGTGACCAGCAAAACAGAACAGGACTTAAGTATTTAGTTAGCAGCTTTTTGTACTTGTGTTTCTTGAGATTTCCTGTAGCACAGTACCTATTCTCTTAATGGATTTTCTTTTGTGGAGATACTTTACAAAAATTATAATCAGAAGACACAGATCTGAATATATTTAAATATCAGCAACGTGCTTCCTATGTGGCAGTACAAACCTTCCCAAACACAAACCCTCTAAATAGAAGTGATGTCTCTATGCAGGAGTGCTATTTCAGTATTACAGAGTATTGTGGGAAAAAAAGGCAGAGAAGTCAAAATTTATTACACATTTTATATATATTATTGACTTTTTGGCTGCATAACTGATTTAAAAACAAACAAACAAAAAAAAAGGTTTGTTTGCTTGTTTTTTTAAAAGCTGAAATACCTAATATTCTTTGGGAAGAAAAAAAAAAACATTTTAACTTCAAAATGACAAACAGCCTACACGATACATTTTCTTCCCCAAAGAGAGGATTTTTTTTTTGCTGCTGTTTGAAATCTGCCTAAAGTGTCTTTGTGTCATAGCAAAGACCTCATCTTCTGTATGTAAACAGTAGAAGAGATGAAAATCTCTCTCAATGGAAACCAGTCAATTTTGCAGCATTTTCTGTTGGATGTTTTTACTGTGGAATACGTGACAGGTTACAAAACAGCAGCCAGAGCTGCAGCCAACTACTAATTTCACTATAGACTGGACACTGTATACCCCTGATCTTCTTGTACTGCAGACTCAAACAGTCTTACACAGCACAATTAATTGATGTGATCACCAAATATTTCAGAAGGAGCAGAATTAATGAGTATGGTGCTCAAAACTCGGCACCCAGGTTCATAAGACAAGAGCACACCTGGACTCCGTGGACTATTTATGCTTAGATGAGCAGTTCATCTTCGTTAGCTTCTGAACTTTATTGGCAGCTCCATACCAATAATCTGTTTTCCTTTTTCCTCTTAAGAGTTTTTTTCTCTGGTATTTTTCATTCAGCTACATTTGAAGTAGGTTTTCAAAATGTAGAGAAATGGGGTTTACAATGAGATGGGAAGCAGAAGCACTGTAGTCAGTGAAGTGTACCAAAAAAAGGGCAGGGCCAGCAATAAAAATAAAATTAAAAAATCTCATCACTAAACACATATAGCTCTGTATCTGTGATTTCATTGCATTTCTGGTACTGTTGAAATGCCTGTAGTTTTGCAGAGAAGAGTATGCAAGTGCGTTGGGACTGACCATGTTACACGCACAGAAGGAGGAATATTTACCATTACAAAGGTAATCTTGACTTTAGCCATTTCTAACATAACAGCTTATGTTTTGCAACCTTAATCATCACTTTAAGAGCTTCTCCCCCACCTCCCACCTCTGCAATATTTCAGCTCATGCCCACCAGCTGAAGGGTGGGAGGAGGGAGAGGAAGGGGTGTTCTGGAGTTCATTAAAAAATAATTACAAATTAAAAAAAAAAATCTGTCCTGTGTAACACACAATGAACACCAGCAATGCATGCCTCTGACAGCTTCATGGCACAAACCTTTGCCTCTTCAGCCAGAAGCATCTGATAACTGGAACAGGCTAATTTATGTGATTCAGCTACTCAGCACACCCATGACACACACTTGGCCAGTAGCTTGCAGAGTTGTGCGCTAAGTAGTGCTGGGGAACACAGCGGCCACGTTTTGTTGCTGAGAAGGGGAGAGGGGCCAGAAGATGAAGAGTGCAAACAGGCAGAATTGTCTTGCAGGTAGGCACACTATGTTCATCTCGACAAGCTGACATACAAATGAAACTGTTCTGAATCTGCCTTATCTCCAGCAGGAAGCCTTATTTCTCATTCTGTTACTTAATGCACTTCTGTGTTAATTTATCCCCCCCAACTTATCTGATAGCAGGCAACTTCCAAAATAAAAACTGCTGTTTCTGTGTGTGCACACTAAGGGTAGAAGTTTATTGATCAGACTAGCAAACAGAAAGGACAAAGATAAAAACTACTGGCCTTTCCGTAGGCTTAAGAGCCTTTATAAGGAAAATGAAAGAAAAAAAAAGATACGCACAGCTATATTATTGCTCAAAAATATACATTTCCACCTTTTGTCTTAAATACTACCTGCAGTTCTGATACTTCATCTCAAAGAATCTAGAAATAGAAGAGATATTGGGACATGACCAAAATGACCAAAGATACAGAACAACTTCTCTACAAGGAATAAATATCCAGGCTATAATATTAACCTTGGAAAAAGAAGCAACTGATGCTGCATGACAAATACATATAAAATCCTGTACGGCTTAGAGAAGATAAATAAAGAATTATTACTCATCATTGCTAAAAATAACTAACTAAATAAAAAAGCCACACACAACAAATAAATGTTCAGGTGGCAGGATTAAAATGAAGCACTTTTTCAAATAATCGATATTCTAACTATGGAACTCCTTGCTACAGGATGTTGTCTATTCTAGATGCTTAAAAAGCTTCAAAAAGTGATGAAATTAATGAAAGGAAAATCAGCAGGTATTTAATTCGTGAATTTAACAAATGTAAAAGGGAGACATGGAAAAAAGATTAAAGGGAAGGAGAAAAAAAATTATTTTCATAAGCAGGGAATTAGTCTGTAGGTTCCCAATGGCAGCATGAGATTAGACTGCAACAAAGCCTAACAGATAAAACTTCAGACACTTCAAGTTTTCTAAAGAAGATGTCAGGAAGGAACCTTTGTGCAAAAAGGGGCATGATGAAGGTAAGACTGATGGCAACAGCATTTACTGGACAACCTACCACGTTTCCACTCAAGGGAGAAACATACCCTAATATTTACACATGTAGGGCTTCCTGCACAACTACCAATTTAAAACCCTGACATTATATGTTGAATGAAGTGACAACACATCAAAAGGAACCAGAGGAACAGCAGTAATGAGCTGGATCAATAAACAATTCAATAACTCTTTGAAGACATTCAAATGGCCTCTCAGAGCTAGATGATCTCTGTGCAGATTAAACGTAACTGTTAAAAAGAAAGTTGGCATGCCAAATACATTTCTGTAGGCCTGCAAGGCCGACTTAAGCTATCTGAAACACAAACTTACTGCTATGAGACACCATGCAAAAAAATGAGAAGGAATCCAAACCAACAGCTAATTAACATAAGTTGCAATGCATATATGTGATAGAACTAGCTGTCTGCCTCACAAGTCCAGTACTGACCACTACTGAAAGAAAAAGTATTATATGGTTTACCATTAACTGCAATCAATTCTTACAGCAGATAACATTCACAAGTTGCCAAATCTGCATCACAGACTTCAACATACCATTGAAATCACCCCAAATCCCTCTCTCAATAGAAAGTGCGTCATTTCTTCTACATCTAAGTAATGCACATCCTAATAATATCTG